CTGAGTCTGGAGTGTTCAAAGATCTTACACGAGGGCCACGCAGATCAGGCCACCATGAAACAACAGGCGTATGGGCTCAGACGAAGGAGCAGGGTCCAGTCCAAAAGAGATTTCTGTCACTGCAATGTGGCCACAGCTGTGGCACTGTCAGAACTTACGGTCTTTGTGAAGGAAACCCTGTCATTCTAAGTCTCCTTATCCCTGTTTGTCAGGGAAGGCAGGAATAGGACATGATCTGAGCAGGAGCTCTGATGGGGAAAGGAGACCCGCTGGGGCATGACTGTGACAAGAGGAGAACCAAGCCCTTCCTCCAAATTGACCCCTTTAGATTCCTGGGGTGAGACACAGGAACGGTGGTGCCTTCTTTGGGACTGGGCCCTGGTTTCCATCTGAGAGATTCTAGGGCCCCAGAGCACTGCTGTCTGGTTAAGATGAAGGGGGTAAGAAAGCACGATTTTCTGAGTTAACAAGAACCAAATGAGGCAATGGTTATATAAATGATGTCCAAGCCCTATAGCTTCATATAAATTGTCCCTAATTGATCTGATCTCCATCATCATTGCCCACTCTCTAGACTGTATTCTAAGAGGGGAAAACCCACTAAATTTACTTCTACTCTGGTGTGGTCTGACGTGATCACAGGAATGGTCCGCATATACAGATGCTAGGTCTGTTTTGGTGAAGGCATTCACTCTCAGATCTCCACTCACTTCCCTACTTCTTTCCAAAATGGGGAAGGGGTATGTGCGGCTTATCAGTCTGCGTGATGATGGGGGAAGGGGAGCTATGACACACGTATGTGACTCACAGTGCCCCAGTAGTCTCTGGGAGCCGGATGACTCTCATCTCCTGGATCCCGCAGGTGATCCGGACGTGGAAAGCCCGTATGTGGACCGGGTGTAACTTGCACTTTTGCGTCTCTACTCTGACTGACTTAGGTTCACTTCATTCTGTTGCCATCTGCAAATAACTTCCCTTTCTGGGTCCCATCCTATATCGCGCCCCTGGGAAGGCCTGTCCTCGCCACAGCCTCACTCCAGGGTCCTCTAAAAGCCGCTAGAAAAGTTACCGCGGCATCATGTAAGGGGAAGAGAGACAGGACTGCTAGAAACGAACGTCACCTAGGGGCAGGGGCAAGACGCTGGGCGGGAAAACGGAGGGATGAGCTCCAATAGGGAGGAGACCATCCTGAGGACAGAGAGGCCCCGCGTTCACCGGGTCAGCCTCGTGGGCCTCGAGGTCGCCGGGAGGGATCAGAGGAGTGAGGGCTGCGCGAGGAGCGCCGCGGGGCGAGCGTGCGTACAGGGTGGGCGCGGGCGCGGACAGCCGGCCGGAGGGGGGGGGGGG